GGGAAGGACTCATATTCTGTCCCTCCAGTTCCAAGCACAGACTTTAGGAACACAGACTCTGGGTCTGGACTGTCTGGTTCATGAAGCAGCTCTGTGGCCTTGGGCACATGATAGAAAGAAGTAACTTCTCCTAGGTAAACTATCTTGCGATTATAATTATGCACATTTAGCACTTTCTCAGTTTTCGTTAAAGTAGGGAATGGAAACAATCAAATTATTCAGGACTGAAGTGAGTTTGAAGCCGGAGTTATCTGGATGAACCGCTTTAACTCTCCCTTTCATTCTGACAGTCGATACTTGGCAATTAAAGTCACTTTATGAGAGAAGTCGATGACACAGACTTACCATTTGTTTAATTCTCACGATAACAGCAAACATTTATTATTTCCAATATGCCAGGCACTGGATTAAGGGCTTTTTGTGGATTTCATTTAATTTTTATTACCACCTTTGGTAAACGTACTATTGGTCTCCCTATTTGGCAGATGGGGAAAGTGAGGCTCAAGATGATGTGCTTAGCCAACCAAAGCAGGCCATCTATTTGGTGTCTGGTTCATCACACCTCTGTTCTGTTATCTCCTTCACCTGCACTCAAATGATTCATTCTAGTTAACACTTTCATTTCCAATAAAGTGCTGCTAAGTTACACAGTCATGCTGCTAAGGGTATTGTGACATTCATTTGTATAAACAATCCTAACATCGAGGCAGAAAATGAATTAAAAAAATTTTTTTAATGTTTTATTTCCGAGAGAGAGAGAGACAGCGTGAACAGGGGAGGGTCAGAAAGAGAGGGAGACACAGAATCTGAAGCAGGCTCCAGGCTCTGAGCCAGCCGTCAGCACAGAGCCTGACACGGGGCTTGAACCCACCAACCGTGAGATCATGACCTGAGCTGAAGTCGGACACCCAACCAACCGAGCCACCCAGACACCCTGAAAATGAATTTTTACTATTCCTGCACTTAGACAAAGAATGACAAAGCAAAGGTCACAATGTAAATGGCTGAATTTTAAAAGCCAGACATAAGCATAAGGCCATTATTATTAAATAGTTTTCTAATATCATCACAGCCACTTAAAACTGTCTTCAAAAATAGCATGAAAGAAGGTCAGCAAATTGACTAAAGCAATCCCTGAAGCATCAATGTTCCCTCAAGAAGTTTTTTTGAAACACAATTTTAAAATATTTTAAAATCTGCTCTCTGCCAAAAAGAAAATACCATTTTCTTTGAAAGACACCAAGGATTTGGCAGTAGTTCCTAATTCTGTAAGGCATTTTTATAGTTTATAAGGAGCCTCCCTTACAACAGATGAGGGATGTATCTGATGACTAAGGAAACAGAGGTGGGAGAGGCTGGTAGCCAGTGGAGGCTCCCTGACTTGTGGGAGTTCTGTTGCTCATCACAATTATTTACACTTCTGGGTGGTGGTTCTGAGGAGCTGGGTCAAAAGCAGCAGGTCACTCACATAGAAACTCAGCTCTGCCTGCTCTGTCTTGCTCATATCAGATTAAAAGCCATCATCTACACACACACACACACACACACAGTCCTCTGGACCACATGTAGACGTGTACACACTTAAAATATGGGTGCATTCTATTCTACAGCATTGCTTAGGAGAAATCTAGTCTTTGGAATTAAATAGCCTTGGCTTGAAAACCAAGCTCTTCCACTTACTTGTATTTTTCTCCTTTTAATCTTGGGCAAATTTTCTTAATCTCTCTGAGCTTTAGTTTCCTTATTTTTTTTCAAAAAATTAAGATCTCCTTGTTAAGAAAAATTCTTCCCCCAGAATCCAATGAGATCTACCCATGCAGTTTGTGGCATGGTGCCTCATCCATGGTGCGTAATCAACACTATTAACTTATTAACTAGTCTTATTTCCTTATTCAATTAGCTGCTCTCTCTCTTTTTTTTTTTTTTTAATTTATTTCTAGGAGAGAGAGAAACAGCATGAGCAGGGGAGGGTCAGAGAAAAAGAGAGGGAGTCACAGACTGAAACAGGCTCCAGGCTCTGAGCTGGCAGTCAGCACAGAGCCCGACGCGGGGCTCGAACCTACGAACAGCGAGATCATGATCTAAGCAAAAGTCAGACGCTTAACCGACTAAGCCACCCAGGCACCCCAGCTGTTCTCTCTCTTCTTAACCAGCTTGTCTTTTGGCATATAACTGTTTACTTTCTCAGAAAGGGGAAAAAGGTGAAAGAGATAAAATTGGGGGGAAATTTTGTCAAATTTGCTAAGAGTACTTGAGTGTTAAAGAAGGTAGACAATATATAAGGGAGTTAAGACATTAATCTCTAAGGATTATTGTAATTAATTTATTCATGCAAGTCCTATAGACAAAACCAGGTATTGTTAATAGTGATTTATTTCTTATAGCATGTGGATTTGCCGTATGTTCTGTGATTCACTATTCCAGCAGAAGATGATAGGACTATTTAGTAAAGTGCAAGTCACTGTACCCTTAGACAGGATCTCATTTAATTATTACATCATCAGTAGTATAATAGATAGTTATTTCTGCACCCATTTTAAAGATTGGGAAAGTGAAGTTCAGAGAGAAGCACTAAAAGTCATATAAATAATAAGTGGCAGAATCAATAATACATCTGAGCTATAACTCAATTCAATGTTTTCTATTTTCTTGCATGTCTCCAATTTCGGTTAGTAAATGATATTGCATATACGCTGAAAATTAATGCTGTAAATGGTGAACAGAGTAACTCTTCCAGTCATCAACCAAACACATGCGTTGGTATAACATACCCAGTCTAGTTAAAATTTGTCTACTGTTTATATAAAAAAAAAGGGCTTCTTAAAAATAGATCAGCATCTAACAACTTGAATCAAGTGTCTATTCATTCCACAACATTTGATATGTATTTATTAAGCATCTAGTTTAAGCCACGCAGCTAGGCCAACTAGAATCACAAAATTTTTGTTGTCCAAATTAATCACTGGCAGCTGCTTTAACACCCGAATTGCAATTGTTTTTGGATTCAATGTTCCTCTAACAGAATGTGCATCTTTGAGGTACTGAATAGGCCTCACGAATGCACTGTGATTGTGCCAGCTAAATCTCTTTGGGTGTTAGTCTTGGCAATCAACACTTGGGAGTTGGCAGAGAGAAGACCTTATCTTAATTTCCTCATCTGTGAAATGGGATTTGAAAAAAAACAGTACCTACCTCCCAGAAGAAAAATTCTGTGAATTAATTAATCCTGGATCAGTGTTCTACTAAGTGCCATTCTGGCATGATCTTAGAATCAGGGTGATTTGATTTTATAACACAATGATGGAAGCTATTTAAAATGGCTACACATTTAAATGTCAAACATTTGACACTTTCCTTTTTTTTTTTCAAGCTGAATCATTTATGTGTGACATTTGTACAGAAGTACAAACAATGGTCAAGTCAGTTTAGGATTTAAAAGTGTATTGAATTGCTTAGGAGTAAAAAAAAGATCCAACTTTCAAATGGGGGGGAAGAAAAGTCTACTTTCTAAATGTTGTTAAGACATAGCACTGTGGCCACGGAACATTATAAACAAACACGCACTGAAGTTTAAAAATGATTTTCCTGGGCAGGGATTAAGAAATAAAAACTTTTAAAAATGAGAAAAAAAAACCCAAACCTGTTACAATTGTTGCAAAAACAAGGATTATATAAACCCTATTTTGTAGCTCTGTGCTTTTCTACATAGAACTTATTTCATCTAATATTAAACACATTATGCTGATAACCTCCTATTCATTTTGCTTGAATGTTTTTAGCTCCCCTATTAAACCTGGCATTTTGGTTCCCACTTTGGACCACCTGGAGGCTGAAAGCATGAGCCACTCCCCTGTACTGTGATAATTTATCTAACAAGCAATAGAATAACATGTGTTAGTCCTCTGCACAATAAACACATCAGAAATGTCTGGGCAGGGCCAGAGAAATAGAGCAGTTTTCTAAAATCACCACAAGATTCGAACTAAAGCAATCACAGGAGGTTTTAGTTGGTCATTAAACAAGTCCCTAATGTGTTGACTATTTCAGAAGCATTAAATTGTAGGTTTTTACACAGAACCATAAATAATATGAGACTGCCAGGGTTTGTTTTGCAATCCTTGGGTTTTTGAGATCACATTAGAAACCATTTCATATGAAACCTCTCCTCCCTGTCCTCCGAGGTGAATGTAAATTTTGATAGCCATCCATATGGACAACACATCCCAGGAGGGGGTCAAGACCTTTATAACATGAACCCCTTTCTCTGCAACGCTCTTCTTGGAAATCAAGGAAATCTGTGTGTTTTCACAGGGCACAGGTCCTTAAAAGGGCACTGAGAAAAGGAGTGCAAAGAAACAGTGGAAAACTCAGCAGAAGAGGGACCCTCACAATAGACGGCTACTATTAAATTGTCATTTCTTTCAGTGCTCTGGTGTACTACCATTCAAACTGGAGCATTAAGGAGAAACAAGCCAATTAGGAGAGGAGTTTTCGGTCCTGGAGTTTAGTCAAGGCACTACAATGAAAAGGTCACTGGCTTCAGAGATTTTATATCAAGGTGAAAAAGAGGCGAAACTTCTCAGCACCCACAGGGTTTTTGTTCAGAAGATAAACTTCTGCTCCTGAAAGAGCAACAGCATGTGTGTATACAAGACAAACACAACGCCCCCCTCTGGGCTGTGCTCTTTCCTCCCAGGTCCACAGGGGAGGCCATTATGCAGTGGGGATGCCCTTCACCAAAGGTGAAAGAGATTGAGGCTTGCTGTTTCAAGGGAGGACTGACGGCGGGTTTGCTCTTGCTCTTACCTTTTCCACCCTTTTCCACGAGAGCAAGGCATTCTTTGCAATGCAACTGAGGGATTTTTGAGCCACTTTCTATGCACCAGGAACACAGAAAATGCACCCTAAATGCCCCCATTAAAACCACCTTCTAATCAGCAGTATTCAAAGCTTCAAGGCAACCTGCAAAGTCAAGTCCTGAATTCCTGCATCCAGGTAACTGCTAGTTTAACTGCCTGGATCACTCCTCAATTTTGACTTTGTTTTCACGGGGAGCACACTTGACTCTGAGGCGTTTAGAGAAGAGCATTATTGTCATTGTCACGGCTCTATTTTCTGAGGAATCTATGGTGTCTTGCTGGAAGAGAGGTCCAACCGATCTTTGAATAAGAATGTTGTCAACAATAGGAGAATTCATGTCAACAGGAAGAAAAGGAGGGTCATGGCTTCGGACTGCTAAGGGAAACCTACTGCTGGCTACTGGGCTTGCCCCAGCTCTCAGCTAGTATCAGTCCTAGAGGAAACCTAAGGAAAGGAGGCAGGAGAAACAGAGACTTAGAGCTGCAGAAAAGCCAGAGCAAGGAGAGACTCTGGCAAGTGGCAAGTGTCATCTGCAGGAAAGGTCTCTTCCCTGAGGCAAAAAGGCTGCTCCCTTTTTTTTTCTCAGCTTCTGTGCCTCCAGCTACAGACCCCTCCTCTTCATGATCTTCTCAGGATTAACTTGGAGTGTGATGATGCACAGATACTACTACCACTCAAAAGACTTGCCCATGACTTGTCTGTGACTTGCCCATGGCTTGCCCAGGACTTGCCCATGACTACTAAGACTCAGCTATGGGCACTGTGGCCAGCACAGGGCAATGGACCCATTCCTCTGATTCTGCCCACTAATGCTCCTTCCACTTCATTTCCTGCACATAGATGCTGGAGGCTGCAGAGGTGGCAAAGAGGAGCAATTAAATACTGGGAGGCATTCATTACCTTTTGTTAGTTGACCTCTTCTGGCTATCTGACCTTGCCTTAGGATTCTTTTTTACCTGGAGAATTTAAAGATTAGAACAGAGAAAGAACCTCTTCAACTACTATCTTCCTGGATATTGTTAAAACAGGAAAAGTATCAATACCATTATTATTACTATAGAGAAATTGTACTTGGTAGGTGAAATGGCTAAAAGTAGAACAGTCTATACTTAAATCTTCATTTCTCCCCATGGGCTGGTTCATAATCATAAATGGTTCTAATTTGTATTTACACCAAACCAAAGCAATGGCTACATGAATCTCAGAATCAAAGCTCAAATGTTATGTGGTTCAAACTTTTATTTTACTAGTATCTTAGAAATAGAGAATTTTATACCTCGAAGGCACTTAGAAATCACCTACTGCTGGGCACCTGGGTGGCTCAGTCGATTAAGCCTCTGACTCTTGATTTCGGCTCAGGTCATCATCTCATCGTTCATGGATTTGAGCCCCACATTCTGCTCTGCGCTGACAGTGTGGAACCTCCTTGGGATTCTCAGTCTCTCCCTCTCTCTGCCTCTCCCTGTTCATGCTGTCACTCTCAAAATAAAAATAAAAATAAATAAACTTAAAAAAGATCACCTAGTTTCCTGACTTCACAGTTGAGGAAACCAAGGTTCAGAGAGATTAAAATACCTTCCCCAAATCATACAACTTCTACCTGGGCTAATAAAAGAACTCTATCCCCTAATATCCAAGTCAATGTGACAACCTAGAAACATAGTAAAATGTAGCCAAAAGAGAAAGAGAGCTACATAAAGAACAGTCTTTCTTTAGATGACACACATTGTGATTTTAAAAAAAGAACCACGAGGCCTAATTGTAAGAAAATCACCACCCCCACCCATCTCCTTTTTTTCCTGGACAGAAGGAAATAGGTAGAGATGAAATAACGACAGTTTTCTCTAACTCCTGGCCCTTGTAAACAGTTTTTAGTATACCCATAATTAAGTGAAAAGGCAAAACCATCTTGCTGCATCTACAAATTAGTAAGGCTACAGTCAATGGTTTCTAAGAGACAAAGTGTACACAAAATAACTGAAAACAGCATTTATTATAAAAGCATCTTGGTGTTCCCTCCATTTGTTTCATAAATTGTTCTGACTACGCAGGTGATGAACACCGAAAGAGTCTCCTGCAGCTGCTCATGATTCATGTACTAGAAAACAAAGATAAAAGATCATTCCTCAGATTTATATCCCAATGCTTTACACCCTAATTTACAAAAGGGAACATTAACGTAATCGAAAAAAGAGAAAAAAAAGTCTCTCAAACTTGCATAATGGAAAAAAACAAAAAAACCTCATTGCACGTTGCCTGGTAAAGACACCCCGCAGAAATGAATGCATGGCCTCCCTCAAGAGAGAAAGTGCAAGAACACGAAGTATAGGAAGCTGACCAAGTATCTTTAGTCTACAGTAAACTCTCAGAATCATACCAGGGGAACTTAGAAAGCAAGTGTGTAGACATATGGAAATAAATCAGATATGGTAATGATGTTTCCAGTTTCTATTTTTATTTTCAATTCTAATTCTCTCATTCAGTTTTACCTTTAAAGAAAAATTTTAGTTTTAAAATTTTTTTAAATGTTTATTTCTTTACTTTTGAGAGAGAGAGAGAGAGAGAGAGAGAGAGAAAGCACAGCTGGAGGGAAGGGACAGAGAGGGAGACACAGAATCTGAAGCAGGCTCCAGCCACTGAACTGTTAGCACAGAGCACAATGCGGGGCTCAAACTCACGAACTAGGAGATCATACGCTGAGCTGAAGTCAGATGCTTAACTGACTGAGCCACCCAGGTGCCCCTAAAGAAAATTTTTAAAGAATTTAACATCTCTCATGCCACATATAGCCTTTGTTTTCACACATTCCTATTTGAAGTGTATTAATTAGTCTATAAAAAGATAACCACCTATATAATGGGAGACACTGAATTCACAGATCCAGATTTATTAAAATTTGGTCCATTTGCTTTTTTGGGTAAGCATCATTTAGCTGCAATAGCCAGTTTTTCTTTGGTTTGTTAAGTTGCCAGCAAGGAAACTCTCTTCTGGGGGACAATAAATTCAGACTGTAACTATAGAAAGCCACAGTACTAGCATAAAGACCTATATAAAATTGTGTTTAGTCCTTTCCAATCATGAGAAGAAACTTTATAATTAGTTTATCATCACACAGTTTATAAAATGGAAATCCTAAGAAGTTTAACTATTTGCCTGAAGTCACTTGTCTTACCAGTGGTAAAACAGAAATTAGAGTTTAAGTCTTCAAAAGCAAGAGCCTAGGATCTTTCCATTACAGTTTAGGCACTTCCCAGACATGGATGGAGAAGGCACATGCAGTGGGGTTCAATGCAAGAAACTATCCTCCAATATTCAGACTAGCTACTTGGGCAGGGATTTTTTTTCCCCAATGTTATTTATGGTGATGGAAGAATTTCAATCGCTTATCATTAAAGAAAAAATGTGACTCACAATTGCTATCTTCAAATCAGTAGTTAGACATAAAATTTAGCAATTTTAATTGGTTTGGCTCAGGCCTTCAGATTTCCATATGGTTACCTTCCTATTAAATGTAATTGACTTAGCACTTGACTTTTAAAGTCTTGGCAGAATATATCAATTAAAAGCTATATAAATTAGAAGTATTCAAAGCATGCAATCTAAGGACAAACTTTAAAAATGCTCTTTTCATAATTGTTATTTTCCATAAACTTGCATTATCACACAGATGACAAACTTGATACAGACAAAAAAGGATTATTTTCTTTGGAATAACATAAGCTAACAAGCATTCTATTTGTTTCTTTTCAGAGAACTAATGTGTGCCTAAAATGGCCTTTCTACACAGTCTGCAAAATGAATTTCTCCTTAGTATTTCTAAAACTGACAGCAGTCATGAAAACTCTCAGAAACCATCTCAAAACTAAAATGCAAGTACAACATCGATAAACATGGCACCAGGCCTGTTAAACTGACAGCAGTTTTCTAATTGGTCTTGCCAAATATGCTATACAATTGTTATTTAATATACCAGTATATCAGAGCATTACATTGAAAAAAGTGATTACACATTGAAATAGATATTCTTTGTAAGCCAGGGACACAGTTCTCTTCAGAAACTAAAAATCACACAACAAAATACAATCAGGAATATGAAAAATGTGGGGCGCCTGGGTGGCTCAGTCGGTTAAGCGACCGACTTCGGCTCAGGTCATGATCTCACGGTTCGTGGGTTCGAGCCCCACATCGGGCTCTGTGCTGACAGCCAGCTCAGAGTGTGGAGCCTGCTTCAAATCCTGTGTCTCCCTCTCTGACCCTCCCCTGCTCACGCGTGCTCTCTCACTCTCTCTCTCTCAGAATAAATAAAACATTAAAAAACTTTAAAAAAAGAAATATGAAAAACGCAAAGTGCATTCATTACTATAGGCTGACTGAATTTGTTACAATTGCTTCTAAGGACTATTGCCTATGTAATTATTTTCCAAATACTAAAGTCTATCACGCATGCTAAATAAATGACAGTCATTTATCAAACCCCAAGTGGTTGTTGATGGAATTTCCACACTTATTTGGATTGAGTGAAAAGCCAGAGTGCCTGGTGTCCCTGGAATTCTTGCAGAGCTTGTAATTCAAGTTAAAATGATGATAATTAATAAATTCTCATTTTAGATCTTGGGTAATGGAAACGTATGGAACCATTTGCCTTAAAACAGAACTCTGGTTATCGATGTCACTTTTATAAATGATTAAACTGTTGAGCATTAATAGATATGCCTCCCTGGCAAGGAGAACATTAGATGCAGAACAAATGGCTTTACTTATTAAGGTCTAATTTCCTTATGCTATTCTCCATCTACATATAGTTGCACAGAAAACTTCTAACTTCTGGATTAGGAAATTTAAAAATATGAACGAGGATCTAATCTCCCTGCCCCATGTCCATGGATTATTTTACCGATTTCCTACTATTTCCAAGTGTCTTCGTTTTCAGTGGCAAGAATGTAGAATTGCTAGAAGTATCCTTAAAGGAAACCTTGAAGGTCATTAGATGCCAGGCAATGAATGCCTTCATTCAACAAAGGGCACTGCCCTCCTTTGCCTGCAAACTCTTTAACATCAGCAAGATTCCCGGAGGGCTTGCACTTTAACTTGGTTGGAGCAGGTCACATTTCTAAAATATTTAGCTGTCTCAAATGTCCGTGGTCGGCAGCACTGAGTCACTAACGCCACTGCGTTTCAGGCTAGATCGACCTCTTTCTAGTTTTCAATGGAATTATTCCATGTAATCCGATTTACACAGCCATTTAATCAAAGTGAGAAAGGAGATTACAGAGCTCACGTTTGTTTTACAAACCAAGGGTGCAAGGATCATCAATCCTGACTCTCAAAGTGACAGGATAGTACATCGTCTCCCTTTGGAGTGTTGGTCATTAACCTGATCTGTCTCCTGTGTTCTTGTTTAAATAGGAAAGTTGAGGCTTTTTTTTTTTCCCCTTTCTGAACTAGAAGGTAGCGGTTTCTGCACCAGATCCCAGCACTACTATTCACCTGAGGAAATGCTAATATAACAAGGAATTGGTTCTTCCCCCAAGCCCTCCGCCGCCCCACCCTTATTATTTCACAAAGCAGAAGGCTTGTACAAAGTCAGATAATTACATTAAAACTTGAATTTTGTTACCAGTCTTGAACATTTGCATTTCAACATCACAGTGTGGCGGCGTTCAATGCTTTGCCTATGAACCTGCTTGCAGGAGCAGCCTGTGCTCCGCTTAGTCTTGGGCGGCTAGCCTCAGACTGCACAAACCGTCTTTCTGCCAGGCAGCGTCCCTTCCCCTGACCTTTCCACACCTGTGCACGGAGCTCGATTCTTCCTACTTCCTTCTGAATGTGTACATTTCCCAGGCCTACATATCAGTTTAAAGTAGGATACAAAGCAACTCATCCAAGAAAGCATTTTCAGCTCAGGGATGTCTTGATTCTAAACTGACGATTTGGACAAATTCTCAATTTCCTTCCACCCGCTTCCCCCCACCACTTCCACCCCTTGGACACATTTCAGATATTGCTGTCTCTGAGAGATCCTCTTGGGGGTGAAAGGGCAGTTTGACCCAACTCGCGGCAGTTACGCAGATAGATTCCTAAGGGGAAGAAGTGAGAAGACGTATGAACTGCAATGGAGAAAGAGCCATGGGTGGGAGCACCTTGGCAGCCCTTTCCAAACTACAAATCAGATAGCTGCTTCAAGGAAAAAAACAAAAAAACAAAGCAAAACAAAAAAACGGTCTAATTGTACCCCTGGGCGGTGCTTTACCCACAGTGTTTATGTATAACGCACAATTTAGCAGCACTGGGAATTACCTCAATAACTATCATTAGAGGTGCCTATTTAAAAAAACAAAACAAAAACAAAAAAAACTTCTCTTCTGTAATGGAAGAAGGTGGTGCAGTGTGGTGGTATTACCCCATCTGTGGCTCTCTGGAAACTCACCCAGAGCCTCAAACCTGGCAAGCGCCTCGCAGAGCTAAGTTTCCCGGGCTGGCCGGGCAGGTTCTCCGCCTGGCGGAGCGCAGCTGCTAAGGAGCTCGGGTTGGCTTCGCTCCCGCGGGTGCACCCGAGCCCGCAGGAGCCCCACGCCCACCTGGAGGGCTGCACAAAACCCGGGGTTCGAGAGCGAGCGTGGTGCGCTGGGAGCTGTTTTGCAATCTGCTGGAATCCACGGGAGAACCTCTCGCGTGCAAAGAAATGCCTTCGCGTGAGAACTTACAAAAAAAAAAAAAAAAAAAAAAGGGAAAACACTCTCTCCGGCCAAAGAGCAGATTCTTCCATTTTACAGGAACTGCGGTTCCCTCCTGACAGCTCCAAACTTAAGGGCTGCAGCTCCAAACTTGACACCAGCTCTCTCTCAATGCTCCCACTCCTCTCTCTCTCTGGCTCACCCAGCCACCGCGTTTCGGACGCGCACGCCGCGCCCGCCTCCCTCGCACCCTCCTGGATCGTCCGGCGGGCACAGCCCCACTCGCCCCGGCAGCCGGTGCCGAGACGAGCCGGCCTCCCTCGGGCCCCTGGCGCGATATCCTGGGAGAGGCGGCGAGCTCCCAGCGCGCGCTACTCACTTGTGTCTTCTTCATAAGGAAAGGCAGCACTGTGATCCAGTCCAGGCAGCGGTGTGGCGACTCCGTTTAGACGTTCTGGAGCTCCAGCATATTGCACGAGCAGCGGCTGCAGATAGTCCACGCATTGGGTAGCCCGAGCGCAGCGCCCTCTCCACGGCCCGTGCTTCCCACGGCGCTCCCGGTCCCGGCGCGAGGCGGCGAGTGAAGCCCCGGCCCGCGCGCCGCCAGCACTTTTATACAGGTCCCTCCCGCCTGCTCCGGACACGCCTCCTTCCCTTCCGGAGCCCCGGGGAAGCGAGACGGGGCAGGGGCGCGGCGGGGAGACCCGGGAGGGCGGCCGGAGCGCAGCGAAGGCCCCCGAAGTTGAACAGATCGGGCCAGGCGCTTCCCCCGGCCTGGCGGCCGCCGGCGCACACCAAAGGGAAGCCGCGAGGGCGCTTCGCTCGTCGAGCTTACCGACCTGCAGCCGCCGCTCGCGCCGCGTGCCTGGCGCAGCGAGTCCCGGCTCGGCCTGTGTGCTCCGCCGCGGCTCACCTGGAACCGCCCGGGGACAGACGCGCGCGGGCGAAAGCTGGGGGCTCCCCCTTCTACCCTGAGGCGGTTCTCCAGGAGTTCGTTGGGTACCTAGCGAAGAATTCACCCCGCCCCGCCTTAGGGAAATTTAAAAAAAAGCTTACTTGGGATCTGTAGTTAGGCCATTGTCTTACCCCCTCCGTTTAACAGTTTCTTCAGGGAATGAATGAATATTTATAAATAAAAAAATTGTTGACTCAGGGTTAAGTGTTGGTAAGGGAGATGCTATTTTCAGGATGGTTTGCTGCTGTTTCCTTAGAAATAAAAAAATAAATAAACATAAAAGAAATGAACATCGAAAGAGAAGCGATGGATTATTAACAGTGCAGGTCGCTAACAGCAAGTGTCTGAAAAGCTGTACTTTTTGAAAGCTGTTAGAGAAATTTTTGAAGTCGGAAATAGAATGCAAAAACAGTGATAAGAGCTAACACCATTATGTAATACACTTAATTACATACCGGGTGCCATGCTAAGGACTTTTGTAGATTATCTTGTTAAATCTTTTCCCAAACCTATTGTGTACGTCCTGTCATTTTTATTCCCATTTTATGGATGATGATACAGAGGCTTATGTAGGGCAATTTTCCCAAACCACATCTAGTGAATGGTACAGGTTAATTGGAATCCAGAGCCCTCTGGCTATATAGCCCTTAAAAATATATATATACTCAGAACAAGTATTTTATTGTCTCTCCAAAACTCTTCTATATTTGTTCTTATAACTGGAAACCATTAAAAAGAATTTTATGAATTTTTTAAAAGAAAATGGTAACCAGACATAACATCAATAGATTTTTGGAACAAGAATAATACATGAATTTAGGAATTAGGTATTTTAATGAGAGGATTCCAAATTTGCATTAATTAGTTCAGTGTTCCTTTGTTAAAAAATGAATATGCCAAACTTATAACCATGAGAGATCAGGAAACCTTAGGTAAAAGTTGAAGCTCACAGGGCGCCTGGGTGGCTCAGTCGGTTAAGCATCCAATGGCTCAGCATGATCTACCAGTTTGTAAATTGGAGCCTGGAGTCCGGCTCTGTGCTGACAGCTCAGAGCCTGGAGCCTGCTTCAAATTCTGTGTCTCCTTCTCTCTGCCCCTCCCCGACTCACTCTCTGTCTCTCTCTCTCTCAAAAATAAACATTAACAATTTTTTTTAAATTGAGGCTTACTGTGCTAGTTTTCTATGTATGCTGTAACAACCACAATTTTAAAGGCTTGAAACAACACAAATTTATTATCTTACAGTTTTAAGGTCAGAAGTCCAAGATGGATTTCAGTGGGCTAAGTATTGGCAGTGTTGCATTCCTTACAGAAGCTCTAGAGAAGAATTCCTTGTCTTGCTTTTTTTGGCTTCTAGAAGCTATCCACATCCTTTGGCTCATAGTCACCTTCATCTTCATCAGTAAAAGTGAGTTGAGTTCTCACATCAAACCACTCTGACTTTCCCTTTGGATCCCTCTTCTACTTCCAAAGACCTTATGCTTATATTATGTCCACATGGATAATCTAGGAAAGTCTGCCTTTTTTAAAGTTAGCTGATTAACAACATTTATTCTATCTGTAATGTTAATTCCCCTTTGCCATGTAATATAACATATGCATGAGCTCCAGGGATTAGGATTTGACATCTTTGGGGGGTCATTATTCTGACTACCGTATTCATTTAATAGCAAACAAGTATGGGGACTGAGAAATGTGAATTTGGATTGTCATTATGCAGCCTTCAGCAAGTGCTTTGCTCCACATGGCTGGAGCTCCCACTGAGAAGACTACTTACTCCTCAGTAGTTATGAAAGTAAATGTTTGAAAAAAAGGACCGCAAGAAAAGTTCACAGTATTAAATAATTGTTTTTACTTTCAATCAGAATGGTGCTGTAAATCATTTTAAGCAGAAGTGGAAAGAAGCCTAAAAACAGAAGCAAGTATGACGGTATTAGAAAATCATTTAATTGCTGACTCCTCCCTGGTAATCCCAATCTTAACACAACCAGCCCTTCGGGGTAATTCTGCTATGCCAAAAAATCTTCCAAACACTTGCATATATATTATGCCTAAAGGATCTACACTCCTGAAACGTACTATTACACTCTAATGGAAATGAGTATGAGCAAGGTTGTTTCAGATTCTGCTGCAGGCTCTATGACCTTGCCTCAAATCATAGATATAACAGTGTGACATGCATAACTAGAAAGGTTCCCAGGATGGTACACAGATTAGTATTTTTATTTTATTAGAGGAGTACAAGTTAAAATGGATACATTTTAATTCTATATGTATATGATACACATATATATCACATCAAACAGATGATTCCAAGTAGTTTCTTAGAAAAAAATGTGAAGGGTCAATTTAAAGACAGTTTAATGTATAATATTAAATAAATAATAGCTAGTACTAAAGGAAGGTAAATGTGACAAAAATCATGAAGTTGGTAGAATTACAAAAGCTCAGTAAAATTCAATCTAACCATGCTAATTTTATGAAATCAATAGGAAGGAAAGACTAATAAATTAGACCAGGTTTAAAGAACCCAGGAAGGTAAAACTCTCAGAAATTCAGGTCAATTTTTTTTATTCAACCAAGTCATTCATCTCAGTACTCAATATATTCATCTCCTACAGTGTATGCTCTTACCCGCGTAATCCCTCCTTCCTTCCCTTCTTTTCCTTCCCCATTCTGTTTCCTCCTCCCACCTGCACAGCTCAGTCAATGGCCTTAGCCACATTAATGTCATCACTGACTTTCTTGTCCATAACTGTTTCTTTTATTTCCTTCATATTGCTGCACCACAGTTTTGCTGTAAAATCATGTTATCTGAAATCAGGTCAAGAGAATAAAAAAGCAGGTATCACAGAGATTAGAAAGAGCTAGTATGAATTCGAAAATTCTCCAGCAAGCTCATGAGGTAGTCCAAAGCAGGCCAGAAAGACTGAGGTCTTCCTTTGAGGTGGGCCTTTGGAGGAGACACAGGCCAGTATCCAGTCCCTTAGCAGAAGAAAACCAGGAGCTACTTAAAACTGAACAAGAGGCAGGGCTATGCCCCAAGCGGCTAAGGAGACATGGGGAGTATTTTCTTATAGAAATAGTAGCCTCCCATTATAGGGTTCAGGGAGTTCAACATTTGGTACACTGGGAAGAAATTCTCTCCATGATTATCGCATCTTTGCTTGCATTCTTTCAGTGCTACTTTGTCCATTATTCTGTTTCTGATTAATTGTTAGAAAAAGTTTTTGGTTTGGAGTTTAACATTTGCTGTTGTTAAGAAACAAGTTTCATTTTGGAAATAAGTCTTATAAGTCTTGTCTCATGCACGTGAAACATCTTTTATTCATTCACCATTTTGTGACTGCTCTGTGTCAGACACATGTTATTTTCAGAACCTTTAAAAAAAAAATGGCACCGTGAACTAAAACCGTTTTTGTCTGACCAGGCCAGACCAGAGGGTTGCCATCCATTCCCATCTTTGGGTGAGGTGGAAATGAAGGATTAGAACTGCTCTTTGATCATGCAACTTCCTCTGCTGAAAACTCTGGTGGCTTGCCATTATTCTTGGGATAAAGCAGTAAATACCTTAGCAAAGACTTCATGGCCTCCAGGGTTTGGCCCCTTGCTACTTCTCCAAAGTCCATTCATTTTGTGCTCCCTTGCTCCAGAGGCAAAGGCCTTCTTTCTGTTCCTCATAGTTCCTTTTCATTTCAGAGCCTCTGCATATCTCCTTCCTTTTGACTCCACTTGGATTGCTTTGCTCAACCCTTTCCTCTTTGCCTAAATAACTTCTCATTCTCATTAGATCTCAGTTCAATATTCTCTACATTTTCTTCCTTAGGCAGGCTTTCCCTAACTTCTGATTCAGTCAACTCCACTTTTATTATAAACTCAAGTGTGAATTTCTTCTCTTTTGTAGCATTTACAGAGCAGCTTAACCCTTTGTCTATGTGATTATTTGATTAAAGTCATGACTATCACTGTCCTCACTCATTATTTTATCTTCAATGTCATGTATGGTGAGCAGAACATTGTGAATCTCTTAATACTGATCTAATTAAGTTACTGATGCCAGGCATGAGGCAGGGATTGTGCCAGGTCCTTTGCTTATAATATGTCACTAACTTCTCACAACAATCATCTAAGGGAGATCATTTTTCTATTTGATAAATAAGGAAACTGAGGACCAACAAGATAAAGTAGTTTCTTAAAAGGTCCCTCCCAGGGGCGCCTGGGTGGCTCAGTTGGTTAAGTGCCCAACTTTGGCTCAGGTCATGATTTCACAGTTTGTGAATTCCGAGTCCTATGTAGGGCTCTGTGCTGACAGCCTGCCTCAGATTCTGTGTCTCCCTCTCTCTCTCTGCCTCTCCCCCCTTTCTCTGTCTCTCTCTTTCTCTCTCACAAAAATAAATAAATAAGCATTAAAAAAAAAAAAAAGCCATGCCTCTTACATGTAGTGTCCCCATAAGTTTTTTTTTTTTTTTTTTTTTTTTTTTTTTTTTTTTAAGAAAAGGTCCCTCAATCAGTAAGTAGAAAAAACATTGATCTAATCCAGACATATGGACTATGGTAAGTATGTTTTATCTGCCTAGCACACTTTGCTATTCTTCTTCAGCTACCAACATCCTACTTTCTTTAGAATTCACATGGATTCCATGTCTTTCAAGACAGATTGTATTTCACAAGGCTCTGTTTCCCCCATCAGCATTCCCACTGTAGGGGTGAGTTTAGGATCCAGGCCTGTCCAGTCCCCATATTGGTGAGATAGGGGTACATCACCTAAGGTGGACCAATCAGAATCCACGATGAGACTTACCTGCTAAAGTTAACTGGAAAGATCACCTCTTTCTTGTGCAGTTGCCAATCTACAAAAATGTAAATCCTCCTTTATCCTTACAGGTGTGTGATTTCACCAGCCCTAAAAGTGATGAAAAACATCATATTATGGAGTATTCTTTGAGTGACCCATATTTTTTAGTATTCAGGGAATATCATCAAACCCATTTGGTTAGTTCATTTTTTTTCTAGGTTATAAAAAAATATAAGCAAATATTGCCAAAGATATTAAATACTTAAATTATTGGTAGTTGGCCTTCTTTTTCCCTATATACTATGCCTAAAAATGAATCACAGGTCCAACTTAAAAATTAACAGTAAAGAATTACATTTCTGAAAAAAGTTGAGCCTGGGTAGTAATAGCAAATCAGAAGGATATTTTTAAAAAAATGTTTAAACTCTTGGGACACCTGGATGGCTCAGTTGGTTAAATGTCCCACTTTGGCTCAGGTCATGATCTCGCAGTTCATGGGTTCGGGTCCAGCATCAGGCTCTCTGCGGACAGCTCAGAGCCTGGAGCCTGCTTTGTATTCTGTGTCTTCCTCTCTCTGCTATTCCCTCATTTGCAGTCTCTCTTTTTCTCTGTCTCTCAAACAATGAATAAAACATTAAAAAAACTGTTTAAACTCTTGTGAAACTCTAGAAATGTTCATAATGTTAACTCAGAATGTTGTTTAATGTCAATAAAAATTGACCACATATCAAATGGTGTTTTAAATTGACAAAATAAAAGAATTAGCATTTCATAGACATAATTATAATAAAGATAGATCATTATACTCTACATTTATCAAATAATAAAGAAGATAATAACCATTATGATCCAAGGAAAATTTGCGATTATCAAGAAATTCTTTTTTTTAATAATTTTTTTTTTTTTTTATTTTGAGAGAGAATACGAGCAGGGGAGGGACAGAGAGAATCCCAAGCAGTCTCCATGTTGTCAGCACAGGGCCTGGTGCAGGGCTTGAACCCACAAACTGTGAGATCATGACCTGAGCCGAATCAAGAGTCTAATGCTTAACTGACTAAGCCACCCAGGTGTCCCAAGAAATTCTACAGGAATAAACTTATTCAAACATTCAGGCAGGAATATGAGAAAAAAAGAAATCCATGAATCTTAGAGAAGGAATTTCCTGGCATATTTAAAATTATTAGTTTAATTTTATAGAAATAAATCATATCATTTATTCATGTTTATTATTCATTAATCAATTTGACCAATACTTTTTAATACCTCCAATAACTAATTATTTTCTTTAAAACATATTATCCATTTCTGTTATCCACTTCTTACTTCAGAGTCTTAAACTATTTCAGCAGATCCACCAATGGTCCTCCTTGTCCTTATTTATTCCAGTCCATTTCAAAGTCACTGCCAACATTTCAGTAGCATCTGTAATAATCTGGTCACATCACCTCACTGTCTATAAATGTATTTTGATTCTCAGCATCAAAATCACTAGAGAGTGAAATCCAAAGTTCCTCACAATTTGATCACAATATCTGTAGCTCCCTAGACTCATCTATTGTACCAGCCACTTCTGTCCAACTAGTCATGTTGGACTTAATATTTTCTCTTTGACACCTTTGATATTATTCCTTGATCATGGAGTAGCTTTTTTTTTCTATTTTCTGCCTGAAATCTCCTTTCCATCATTCAAATCCCGGTTCAAATAACACTTCCTCTCTGAAGCACAGTGTCTCTTCATTCTTTACAACCTTAGTTAGGTTTACAATTAATGGGAAAATTAATTTGTAATACATGAGGCCTCACTCAGTGAAGGGGAAAAGGATATTGGTCACAATGTGATGAGTAAAAGAATAAAGTGAGCTGTGGGAATTTGATGTGAACATTCTTGAGAGAGAATATAAAATAGGGCTTGATAAAAATTAACAATGTTTTCATGTCATTATATTGGCGACTAAAAGTTTAACAAAGATTTTTTTGACTCAAAATTTATTTTTTAATAAAAGGAAAAATTATTTCAATTAACTTATATCAACATTTTGCTGGTCTTATTCTAATTCTCTGAGGTTACAGAAGCTGTTATTTCACAAACACGTAGTTTTTAAACTATAAGACAATTTTTGATAAATGTAGTTTACACAGTTAATCTATAGATGAAGAAACTGAGCCCACAAAGGGCTAACTTGAATAAGGGGTAGAATCCATATCTCCAGAACTGACTTATGAAACACTATGGCTAGTCCAAAAGCACAACTTCTAAGGAATCAAGATCAAAGAGTAAATATTCCACCCTAGTTTACAGTAAAGAGTGATTTATCAGGCTGCATGGGTGGCTCAGTCAGTTAAGCACCCAATTTTTGTTTTCTGCTCAGGTTATGATCTCATGGTTGGTGAGTTCAAGCCCTGTGTCAGGCTCTAAACTGTTAGTGGGCTCTGAACTTGAGATTCATTCTCTCTCCTTATCTCTCTCTGTGTCCCTCCCCTGCTCATGCTCTCTCTCTCTCTTGCTCTCCCTCTCTCAATAATCTTCAAAATACAAAAAAAAAAGTGATTTATTATTTTTTGAAGAGTGATTTATTATTAATAAGCAAATGATTTAAAGATTATTCAGAGGGGCACCTAGGTGGCTCAGTCAGCTAAGCATCTGACTTCAGCTCAGGTCATGATCTCACAGTTCGTGGGTTCAAGCCCCATGTCAGGCTCTGTGCTGACAGCTCAGAGCCTGGAGCCTGCTTTGTATTCTGTGTCTCCGTCTCTCTCTGCCCCTCCCCCATTCATGCTCTGTCTTTCTCAAAAATAAACATTAAAAAACTTAAAAAAAAAAAGATTACTCAGAGAAGGATTTCTAGAGAAGAAGAAAAATTGAAATTGATTTTTTCAATGATATGTGTATTCTGCATATTCTATGTATATACAGGGGTATTGAATATATATGTTTTTAGATGCTTAAATACCATGAGATATTACCAATTTGAAATATTTTACCAGAGATTCCCCTTCTCCATGACATTTTAAAAAACATATCATCTAATTGTACATTTCTGCATAATTTTCCTGGTTATGACTTTCATATATGTCTCATAACTTTTATGTGTATTAGAAAATTAATTAATTTACATTGTGTTTTTGGCAGTGACGTTATCCTCTTCAGTTATCTGATTTTAAAAGAGATTCATGGCTCCAATTGTGTCAATGTTCTTTTTTATATTCTTCTTTTGAAATGTGTGTTCTCTCACGAATCACTTAAATGAGAAGTTTCAAGCATGGCTTGACAAGTGTTTTCTGTACAACTCTTGAATGCCACAGTTAATAAAGAGTAGAGAAACAGATAAATATACTACTTTGTAAAGCTCTATGGCAAGATGTAATTCAACTCCCCTGGTTATCTCTTTCTACAAAAAAACTAGAAACAGGGAATATTGGAGAAACTGTCACATTTTTGGAATTTCGGGTTTTTTCTTTCTTTTTTGAAGGAGTGGTAGGTGATAAAGGATTTGTTTGAGATTAAGGTGGCTAGGCAACCTTAGGCAAGAAAACTTCACTATTGTGCATTCCACAGTCTGAAATAAGCATTGTGGACACTTTTTTCCTTTTTTTTTTTTTTTTTTGGTGGATGTGCAACTTAATTAGATGAGTAGCAGATTTTTCATGTCTCTCTCAGCGTCATCAGACCACTTATCAAGTTTGGATAAAAGACATTTGTTCACAATGTACCTCATTGTCTGTGTTTTCCCTCAACTAGAAACGATTTGCAATGACCCCATCTTGAGGATCTTGACCAGTTTTCAAACTATGCTTCAGAGGCCTTGAGGGAAGAGAGGGCTTTCAGAATTTAGAGATCCAACCTTAAAATGGCTACTAAGCCCTAGACATCATCATCATTAGTCACATACACAAGGCACCCTCTCCCACCTTCCTTTTCTTTATTCTGCTTCCATTCAAAGCTGCCACCCCATGTTATGGAGGCTTCCATGGATAATCCCAGGTACCACCTTTCTTATTCTGAAGACTATACTCCCAGTGAGACAGTGTGAGAGAGTAAATAAAAGATGATTGTTGTCATAAGAATTGATTTTTAAATATGTACTTTCATTTATAAAGAAGGCATGCTTAAATTGAACTGATTATTCCTCTGATACCTTTCATTTACCTTAAAATATGTAGGATATTGTGTGTGTGTGTGAGTGTGTGTGTGTGTGTGTGTGTGTAATATGATTGAAGGTACATCCCTCAGGTGCTGTTAAGTATTCTATTTAAAAATTTCAGTCCAGGGCTAGCCAGCTAGCTTTCTAACTAGCTTTTCATGCTCTAGAAGATATCAATGTCAGTACTTCTATTATCCATATCTATACCATACAAATTTACCTTATTCATAGATGTTGGAAATATGTTCGAAATAAGAGTGTCAGATATCACTCATTAATAGCATACTATATGGCAAAATAGGCAGGGAAATGTTTGCTTATTGACTTACACCATTCATGTAAGAAAGGCTCACTGGTAAAATTAAAGCTCTTCAGGATACATGGTTTGGATAAAATTGCTTTAGAGGCATAGAAAGGAATAGAGTATAAGAATTAAAGGAAGTCTGGAGCCTTTGGTGGTAGAAATGGTGTGTGAGACTTGAGCCATAAACCCACTGATTCCAGTCACTGGTGTGAGAGGATTTCTAATAATGTGTTTGTCTTGAGTATATAATTCATGCAAGATGTTAATGAAAGCACTTAACTGTACAAAAAGCTGGGACTTTATCAAACTTTAAGGAATATTTTGTATGACCTGAGTTGTGTCTATTTGTCAATATATTGGTCTATATGTGTTATAGAATTTGGTTTGTGATTTGTTTTCAGTATGACCTGATGGCCACATAATATGCCACCAAGAACCTAAAAGTTGTTCATATTAAATTGGCTTGAGGTCAGTTCATAATTGTTTTTGGAGAACTTACCAAATGCTAAGTGCTTTGCATGTATTATTTAATCTTTATAGTAATCTGTACAATAATCCTCACAATATTCTTAACACAATTGTTACTTTTTGGTTGGTAAACCATTTATGCATAGGGTGTTGCTAATCATTGCCATTATTTGGAGAAAGAGAAGCAAGATGATCAAATCCAGCTAAAGATGGGTACAATTACCCTGTTTTACAGATTAGGAAATTAAGCCACAGGGAGCTAAGTGACTACTCAAGGTCACAGAGCTGGAAAGTGACCAATTTTGGATTTAATTTGTGCCTGAGTGACTCTAAAAACCCATCCTTCTAATCATGATGTTTTGCTGCATCTGTTAATGATTCTTCACTGTTAAACAGAATAACCTATGGGTTAAGAAGTAAGTTAAATATTTTTAATGCTACAGTATTTACATTGGAGAGTTTTCTTGTGTGGTCAAAAGGTGGAAAATAACTTGTCAAGTCCTAGGGCATGCTGGGTAGTTGTCAAGACTATAGGATAATTAGACACCTTTCAAAGGAGTATTCTCAGCGTGGAAAATGTCCTTAAGGACTCTGGTTCAAATGACTGATTTCATGACAATGAAGGACTCCGAAAGCGGAACAAGGTTCTTTTATATAGACCAAAGGAAATAGTTAGGTTAGCATTGAGTCTTTTCAGGGCAAACACTGGAAGCTGAAGATTATCTGTGCTGATTTTTACACTAATCCCTGTTACTGGGTTTCTCGCTACCTGACCTTAGTATAGGTTGTACAATATCATCTCTGTAACCTTTGTGTTTGTCGGTTTATCTCGATCAACTATCAGTGCAAAGTGAGAAGCTGCCTTTCATCTGGTTTCCAATGGTGCTAACTAGAAAAGGAGAAACTAAAAGTTTACCCTGAGCAGAAATAAAGTGGTCAAGGTATTAAAGCACCTAACAGTGAATCTAAAGAAGGTATTTGAAGAAGGAAGGCTTCCTAGGGAGAAGGTTCACTAAAGGATATTGGCACCATAGGACATTGCGAACAAAGAGGGTAGGCTAAAATCTTGATTTGCAATGGTACAAAGTTTCCTATCTGAACTTCAATAAAGAGTTTTTGTCAATTCATTCTTATGCTGGAGCTGTTCTCCTAAATCTAATGCATCGAAGTTCTGGCATCATTAGGAAAGATAATCCTAAGAGTTCTTAGCAATATAAGCAGAGCTGGCAAAAAAAAAAAAAAAAAAAAAAAAAAAAAAAAAAAAAAANCAAAAAGGAAAAAAGAAAGTGTAATGCTACATATGCTTTCCTCTCTGGAAAGAAAATAGAACAGGTCTGACTTTTGGAGACCAGCTAAATCAGATGGAAGAGCAGAAAGAGGCTAGGAGAAAGCGAACAAGGGAGCTGTAAAACACAAAATTATTTATTTACAGCTGTTTATTAGATGAAAGGAAGAGGCACATATCACTTATCTAACATGTTTCATTTTTTATTTATTTATTTTTTACGTTTTTTAAAAAACTTTTATTTATTTTTGTGAGGCAGAGAAAGAGCAAAGAGAGAGGGAGACACATAATCTGAAGCAGGCTCCAGGCTCTGAGCTGTCAGCACAGAGCCCGACATGGGGCTCGAACCCACAAATTGCGAGATAATGACCCAAGCCAAAGTTGGATGCTTAGCTGACTGAGCCACCCAGGTGCCCCAAATATGCTTTATTTTTTAGTAGAAAGAACATTAACTTTTCAGTAAATAGATTTGGGTTTAAAGCCTGGCTTTACCACTTCTACCTGGGATGTTTAGAGCAGATTCTTCAACCTCTCTGAGCCTCAGTTTCCCCAGAGGTTAAATGAAGCCTCCAGAATCTGTCTCCCAGCAGTGTTGGAGTCTGTATTTGTCACTAACCTTCTGTTTTTGGCTTTGGGCAAGTCACTCTCCTGAGCGTCAGCAGCTCCATCTTTAACATGGGAACGGTAATGCTCCCTGGTTCCACTAGAGAACTTTTCCCCACACATGTGGACCAAACATACAAGACCATACAAAAGCTCTTGGTGGCTTTTGTTCTGTCAAACCAGAAGAATAATGACTACCTAATAGTGGCATTTTAAAGATTAGACAGTAGTTCATGGTAGCTGGGCAATATATGGTGCATAATAGGTATGCAGTAAATATTAGAACTACATTATTAGAGGAGCCTGGGTAGCTCAGTTGGTTAAGCATCCGACTTCGGCTCAGGTCATGATCTTACAGTTCGTGAGTTCTAGCCCTGTGTCTGGCTCAGTGCTTATAGCTCGGAGCCTGGAGCCTGCTTTGGATTCTGTGTCTCCCTGGCTCTCTGGCCCTCCCCTGCATATGCTGTCTCTCTCAAAAATTAATAAACATTAAATTTTTTAAAAAAAGAACTGCACTATTAAATTTATACATGATCTACAGGTGGCATTGGCTTATTCAAAACTTGCTTTCATAGAAAAAAGAATATGCCACAATAGATGACATATGAGATAAAAATTTCTCATATTTAAATTGTGTTCTCCTTTTTTTCCCAAAAGATAATCATATCCTCCTAGAGAAGGACACACATATATCATATCCTCTATTTTCCAGAAAGGAAGGCTGAGATCCAGAGAAATTTAGCAATATTTACCAGAGATGATGTGACTTCAAGTAGGAAGTTAGGCTTGGACTCTGAGTTCCTGAATTCCATCCTAGTGATCTTACAACATTATAGTCTCTCTGTTCTGTGGGTTTGGCACACCTTTGCAGAAATCCTCTATTGTGGTAAACTGTAAAAGCAAAACAAAAATAATTAAAATAGGCTTTCCTCTTATGAGCTCACAATGTGTTGATATCCTTGGCTTATTGTTTCAGTTTTTTAAATGTAAAAAAAAAAGAAAGAAAAGATAATGAATTCTCTGTAACTTTTGGAGAAGAACAGAGAGAACACACTTTTGCTAAATTGAGTGGACTCGTGCCATTATCAATTTTGAGCCTTGACCTGATTTCAGACCCTTAAAAGTTGAAAATTAGCAAGATGTTTTGGCATTTTTCAGAAACGAATATTGAAGCTTCTAAAAATTACAAATCAAATTCATCAACTTTAAATAGCTAAGGAAAAATATTTTGACCAACAAAGAAAATTGGAATATCAACAAAATTATTTAATTTTCTTTGAAAAATGTCTGCTTACAGTACATAATTACTTACCACATATCGTTTAAAGCATTGTGTTTATAAGAATCAAGCCCAAACTGGGTTAAATTCCTTAATGTAATTTATTTTGCCGAGTAAATATTGTTTGATAATTTTTTTGCATTGTTAGAATATTTCTAGAAAGTATCAGAAATATAAAGCATTGTGTAAATGTAATATGCTATCTATTTTACTTCAGACCAACCTACAATAATTTAATTCAACCTATAGTACCCATAGAGTCTACTCTTTAAGGCATACTCCTGGCCCTAAGATAACCAAGGTCTTTGAGGAATTCAGTGTCTGAGCTTTATGATAATAAAAGCATATAGTTAAATTTATTGATCTCTTGCATGTATCAGCCACTCCATGCCACTGCTCATGTTTTCTTATTAGTACCTCCAACAACATCCTTTGGAGATATATTAACACTATTTTATAGGTAAGGGAACAATGGCTTAGATTAAGGAATATATCCAGGGACACACAGTTCATAAATGGCTTAATTTATTCACCTAATTAATATACTAACTCAGATATGCAGACACAAACCAACACGCTTACACAAGTAGACACAAAAACTTGCAACTTTAAAAAAAATCTATGAATATTTTTTTTTTCTCTAATTGAAGCCAAGGTGTTCTGTTAGTGTTGTTTTTCTGTCAGCTTATGCTTAAATAATGACTGTGTGATAGTGTCATCATTGTTTTGCAGAAAGGACAATGTGTTTATAATAACAGAAGAGCACAAAAGCCTTTCAGGGCTATTAAGTCCAGCCTCAAATGCAATGACTCGAGCACTGCACTATGTTCATTTTTTTAAGATAAATTATAACCAAAATGATATTTAAATTTTCGGTTGACTTCGTAATAAAACTCCTCCTCCTAAACCATATTTGTGTTTTTCTTAGAGAACTGTGGTAATAGCATGCTTTGAATATACACAGAACTGTCTTTTATAAAAGGATCCCAAACACACAAGGCTGGAAAACCTCAGACGTGTGCATGAGCAACACACATACAGGAGGGAAATTCAGAGAAACATGAAGCTTAAAAAAAAAAGAATAGACTCCATCCCCCCCCATTTTATTTAAAATTTTCGGATAGAAAACTCTTGGTAGAACATATGGAAAAGTAGAGATTCCTAAATCCATTCGTGCATTTAAAGAGTAGACTGAGCGACTATATTAGTTTATAAGGCAGCCATAACAAATTGCCACTGACTGGGTGGCTTCAATAACAGAAATCTATTTGCTCAGGGTTCTGAAGGCTGGAAGGGTTGGCTTCTTCTACGGCCTCTCCTTAGCTTGTGATGGCTGCCCGCTTGCTGTGGCCTCCCATGGCTGTCCCTCTGTGCATACACACCCTGGGTATCCCTTTGCAAGTCCAAAAGTCTTATTATAAGGGCAGCAGTCAGATTGGGTTAGGGTCCATTCTATTGGCCTCATTTTAGCTTAATTACCTTCTTAAAGGTTCTCTCTACAAACAGAATCACATTCAAGATACTTGGGATTAGAGCTTCAACATAATGAATTTTTAAGGAACACAATTCAGCCCCTAACAGTGACCTTTAGCTGCAAAGAACGGAGAGTTCTTCCAGATGTAAAATTTCGTGTCTCTTCTACAAAATTTTCACTGCATATAACTTGACCACAATCTAATTCACTATACAGTGCTTTTCTATATTCAAAATGACATTCCTGTTTTTCTGTGTTCTGCAGAGTGAGATCCCCATCATATCGACTGGGTTTCCCTCAGAACTTAAAGGGAAATTTTCACAATGTCTGGAGCCCTAAATGTTCTGCAAATGAAGGAGGAGGATGTGCTCAGTTTCCTTGCTGCAGGAACCCAATGATGTGGCACAGGCCTTGACTTCCAAACAGCATATTACATTGGGGTGGGGTGGGGGAGCATGGAATTACCTCATAAATCTGAAGAGAACCTGAGAGAAGCTTCTTCTGGTAGCTCCTGCTTTTGTTACCACTGAAAACCCAGCTGATGTCAGTGGCACATCCCCCAGGAAAACTGGCCAGCGCGCTGGTTTGCTGCTGCCACTGTAGCCATGCCTGTGGCTGGCTCCACAGCTCCCGGAACCTTCCCTAAGGAGATCCAGATAGGTTCTGGGAGCCGCGACTTCCTGTGGTTACCGATCCCACCTTCGGCTCACAGAGGCCTCCCAGGTTAACCCGCCCGCGCGTCCCTGCGCTACAAACGCTCGCGTCCGCACGCACGAGGCGCGCACTGCGGCTCCCTCCGAGTCGGTGGGGTGGAGACTGCCCTGGGCAGTTCTACGCGTGCACCCAGTGGCCTAGCGTGAGCCCCGTGTGAGGGGACGCTTGATCTCTGCAGAGATCCTGAAGGGATTGGGAAGGAAATGCAGGCCGCTGCTGAAAGGACCATGACCACGAAAGAATTTTAGGGTGAATGGACTGCTCTGGCTCCCAAATTTACTGTAACTCAACCTGAGGTCGCGGAAGAGTGAAGGCCTGCAGGTGTCCTCTGGGCCTCTGCCATGGTTCCCTGCTGGAGTGGAGCGCCCAGCCTGTGCCTCAAGACTGACGGCAGCGACCCTGCTCCAGCTACTGAATGGGTAGGAGCAACCGCTGCGCGGTCTTAAGCTCTTCTTCCACACACTTTTTTTTTAAAGTTCATTTATTTGGAGAGAGAGAGAGAGCACGCGCGCGCGCGCGAGAGTCTTGAGCACCAGGCGGGGTGGGGGGAGGGGCAAGGGAGGGGAGGAGAGAGATGAAAGAGAGAATCTCAAGCCGATTCCGCGTTGTCAGCACAGAGCTCCATGGGAGGCTTGGACCCACCAACGGAACCGAACCTGAAAGCATAACCTGAGTGAAACCAGGAGTTGGATGCTCAACTGACTGAGCCTCCCAGGCGCCCCTCTTTCTCCACGCACTCTTAAACAGAAAATGAAAATGAGATTGATGGAAAAGAAATAGTTTCTAAAAAAAAAAAAGATATTCCTGAATTAGTGGTAGTAGGATATTTTATATCTGTGTGTGCATGTATAAATGCACACACTAGAAGGCAGAAAGATAGCTGTGGTTATAGCTACCTAGTGTTCACTCCCACATTTACAACCAAAATATGCATCTATTTGTTAATTAGACGTAACCAAACGAATAACAAAAATCACATATGATCACCATGCTAGAAGCAGTCTTTTTAAAAATGTATTTGACTAAGTTTCTCTTTTAGATTAACACAATTTCATGCTACATTAAGCCTGATTTTTGGGTATATTTATATAGACTGAAGTAAATTATCTACGGGTGTACTGAGTTAAAGGTCATCCCAAGTACATTAAGCAAGGGCCTTGCTGTTTTGGATTCAATCTTCCGAAAGTGGCTGCAACAACATTTCCAATACCACAGGACCTTGCAACCTTCAGTCAAGAGGTGGAGCCTGTGTCTCTGCCTTCCCCCCACCTACATCTTTAAAACTGGGTGGGCCTCTGAGACTGCCTCAATAAATAGAAGGTAGCAGAAGGTATAATATGGAACTTCTGAGAACAGGTCAGAAAAGACTATGTAACAGTTATTTTTATTTGGTTATTTGACTATTTTTAGGCAAGGTCTTCAAATATGTTTGATATTTTAATGCTGCCTATAGTTCAAAATTTTACTTAATTTCTTTTTAATGATTCATGTGTTAAATATTGATATTCTCATCTAATACATTTGTTTGCCATTCGATGTAAAAGAGCCATCTGTTTTTCTTGTGGAGGTAATATATTATGAATCTTGAATTATTCTGTCTACTGTCTTAAAGCATGACATAAACCAGCAAAACATACTGAAATGTTCGTTAATAAGTTGGCTCTTACTAGCTGTGCATATTTTGATTTTCTAGACCAGTTTCCTCATTTATTACAAAATGGAAGATTATATCAAATCAGCATACGATCATTAAATTACATAAGACATTTGTTGTAATGTTCTGAATCCCTCCTTGTAGAGATTCAGTAGGTCTGGAGAAGTGCTCAGAAGTCTTTTTTAAAACTAAAAGAAAATTTTTTAACAGGATCTTGATAGGACTCTATGGTTAAGAAAGTTTTTGGAGTAATCTGGAGTTGTGCAATTCTTTAGGAAGATTTCAAAATCAGTAGAATTACATTTAATTCTTAATCATCATTGATAATGGGAGCAAGATGCTAATAATTCAAGGGGGTGTGAATAAATTCCAGATTTTGTACTTCTGGATTTTAAGTGAGTTTTGTATAATTTTGCCTGCTGTTATATTGTCCTAATTATTCTTTCTTGTGAGTTATAAAATTTAGTATTAATTGTAAGAACCTTCTCAACCATATACAGTTCCAGCAAAAAAAAAAAAAAAAAAACTTTTTAAAAGATACACTTTTCATGAGATTCAGTCATTCCACTCCTCAAGAGAAATGAAGGCATATGTCCATACAAAGACTTGGATACAAATGTTTACAAGTAGTAAGGCAAACAATGAAACAACCCAAATTTCCAATAAGTAAATGGATAAACAAAACCATTTTGTATACATATGATGAAATATTACTCAACGATCAGTAAAACCAACTATTGATCCACATAAAATCATGGATGAATCTCTATAAAAACAACTACACAGAGTGAAAGAAGTCAGACAAATAAATATAGTCAGAGTACATACAGTATGATTCCATTCAAAATTCCAGATCAGTTTTTGCCTGGGGATACCGGTGGAGAGTGGGTAAGAGGAATACAAAAGTATTTGGGAAATTTTTGGTGTGATGAATATGTTGGTTACCTTGATTAGTCTGATGGACCCCTCAATATCCACATATATTAATACCTATCAAATTTTACACATTAACTATGTCTCTTTTCTATGCCAAATATACCTCAAAATAGTTTTTAATATAATATAAAAATCTTTAAAAATCAACAAAAGGTGTGTGAGAGCTATGCAAAGAAAATTTCAAAGCTTAAAAAGCATACAGCATCTATGGGACAGTTTATTAAATTCTTCGAAGAATTTTTATGCTTCTACTGAATGACGTGATGAATATTTCAGTTTCCAGTTTTCATAATTGTGTAGTTTGGGGGTATTTTTTATAATGAGTTTCCCTTAATTTGAAACTAGATACTTGATCAATTAATATACATTCATGCCCATAATGAATAATCATACATAATTTAAAAATTCAGGTGTAACCAATGTTAATTTATTGCTGGAGAAATAGTCAGTCTGCTGTTTTGCTAAAAATTGTAGTTTTCTAGCCTCATTTACTACCAGCTAATTACTCAGCATAAATGTTTGAATCACATTATGATGCAGGTTGTGGGTAGTGAGATGATATATAAGAATCAGAGAAACTTTGAAATCAGATAAAGGAGTGAAGACTCAAGGAACTCTAAGAGAAATGATAAATACATTTAAAGAATTACAAGAAGAATTATTTTTAAAAAATGAAGAGTTACAAAAAAATAATAATAAAATCACAATCCATCCCACATGAATTTCTGGGTGGGGCAGGTCATCACTTTCAATGGATATGTATTGCATTCCTATAGATCTCTTGTGTCTGAGAAGACCAGGTATGTCCAATGGGAAAAAGGCTGTTCAAGATGACATTTGAAGATAGGATATAATCTGAACATTAGGATTACATTTGGAGAAAATAACATTCCAAATGAAAGGAATTATGTGAGTCAAAACAGATGGCCAAAAGTGCCAGATGCCTGTAGAAAATTTTGACTGGTTCAGGTTGGCTGCGTGAGAGCCAGCACTTGGAGTATAATTGGAGAGGTAAACTGAGATCAGTTTACCTGTTTATTTGGTTAGACTTGAGTTGGTAAGCAACAGGGAACCGTCAATGTTGTTGAGCATTTTCATATCATGATAAGATCTATATTTTAAGCAAATAATGTGACAGTAGAGTGAAGGAGAATTTGAAGGAATGGGAAAAAATGTTTTTTGCTCTAAATGGTTTTTCATTTTTGAAATGGTCACCTGTTTACCAAAAGATGCTGTTTTCAACAGATCACATTGCCTTTATTAGGGATGCCAAGAAAGAGAGTTACTGATAAGAAATGGGATGGGTTGAACAGCTAGTAACTGTACAATCCACCTGTAAGACTTGGGTTTTCTTATATTCTATCATACTGATCCTACCAGATCATACTCTGGATGAGAGGGATATTTGTCTCCCCTGCTGGGGCAGCTTTTGGCAGAGGATACTCCCTTGCTAAAACAGAGTGAGTTAAAAGAGGCAGGACTATGAACCTTGGCAGACAGAAAGTATTGGGCGAGAATAATGATACATCTGGAAATTAGGTAAAATAGGGATCAGCATACAAGTTTAAACTAGGCAGTGAATTAAAAATAATTACGTGGGGTGGTCACGAGGTATGGGGTTGGGATAGGAGAGGAGAATTTGTAGCATGGTGTAAATTTCCTTGGTATAAATACTCCTAACCACAACTAATTTCAAACTATCAAAGTGGAATCAACAGGCTCACAAATTTTTGAATTTTAAACAATCTATTCTTGTGAGCATGGGCCAGCTCCAGCCTACTAACAGTACTGCCCCAGAGATTTGTAACTTAGGCAGGGATAATGGACCAGGCATCAGGGACTTAGGCAAATAGTCTGGGTGAGAAGTTGTCTGAATCCAGTCAAAGCATCTGGGTGATATGCACCAATATCATCAGTAAGAAAAAGCTAGCTGTTTTTTTTTATAAATATTTTTTAAAAATAATTTTTAATACTTATTTATATTTGAGAGATAAAGACAGTGTGAACGGGGTAGAAGCAGACAGAGAGGGAGACAGAACCTGAAGCAGGCTCTAGGCTCTCAGCCATCAGTGCTGAGCCTGACGTGGGGCTCGAACTCGCAAACTGCAAGATCATGACCTGAGCCAAAGTCAGACACTTAACCAACTGAGCCATCCAGGTGCCCCTGTATTATTGAAAGTAATATGAGCCATGGCTTCCCTTTGTTCTTTTCCTTCTCTGTGGGGTAGGCCAGAGGTAGGTGGAAGAAAATTGGAGTATCTACTTGAGTCATGAGCAAGGAACCTAAGAATCATCATATGGCAGTCACTGTCTTCTTTCTCCTGGATAGATAGGATAGGTTTCTGGGTCATTAGTAGGGCTTTGGCTCCTCCTTTTGATGAGAGGCTTC